ACTAGCCCCTAAAACATTCTTTTTTTAATGTGTGTTTTTTTTTTCCTGTAGGACTGGAGAGATAGCTCATGACCCAGGAGTTAAGAGCACTTGCTAATCTTGCAGAGGAACCAGGTTGAATTCCAAGTAACCAAAAGGAGACTCATAACCATCTGTCGCTTGAGTTCCTTGGGATCCTATTCCCTCTTCTGACTTCTATAAGCACCAGGCAGGCACATGGTAAACATGCGTGCAGGCAAAACAATTAGACACGCAATAAAAGGAAGAAGTTTTTTTTCTTTTTTCAAAAAAGAATTATTTATTTTATGTATATGAGTACACTGAAGCTGTCTTCAAACACACCAGAAGAGGGCATCAGATCCCATTACGGATGGTTGTGAGCCACCATGTGGTTGCTGGGAATTGAACTCAGAACCTCTGGAAGAGCAGTGTGTGCTCTTAAATGCTGAGTCATGTTTCTAGCCACTAGAAGTCTTTCTTAAAAGAGAAAGCTTACTTATTTTTTAAAAGTCTTCTGACCCATCTTGTTTGGTGATATGTCACATGAGCTTCATGCCAGAAGGAGTCTTGTTCCCCCCTGGTCAGTGCTGTAACAAGAGGTCAAGGAGACATCAAGCAAACATTCCTGCCAGATCCTCCCACTAAATCCTCCTGGTAGAATCTCCCACTAGATCCTCCCCTAGGTCTCCCCACTAGATCCTCCCACTAAGTCCTCCCACTAAGTCCTCCCACTAGATCCTCCCACCAGATCCTCCCACAAAGTCCCATTAGATCACATCCCTTTTGTCCAATCATGTTTACATATGAAATTCCACCTTCATCAAATCCAAGCATTAAAATAATGTTCTCAGGCTGGAGCTGGAGCTCAACTGGTAGGTAAAACATTTGGTGAGCATGCTCAAAGCCCTGGGTTCCATCCTCCATCCATCCACCACATAGACCAGGTATGATGGTGCACATATGTAATCTCAGAGACTTGGAAGGTAGAGGCTAGAGTATCAGAAGTTCTGAGTCATCCTCAGATATATAGCTAGTTTGAGGACAGCCTAGGTTACGTGTTTCCTGAGTTCTCTGGGTTTTAGGGTCTTCAACTCTGAAAGTTCTGGTCTTAAACAGATTTCATAAATGTGACGTGCTATCCTCTTGCTACCTGCGTTTTGTTACTGGAGTGTAGGCTACCCCATGAGGGTGAGGAAGCTCTGCACACCTTTCTGATCCTATGGAGGCTATGACGACTTCTCCTACGATACAGAGAAGAATGACGGTCTTCTGGCTGGCTTGAGCATGGAGCCACTGCAGACCTTTAGGAAGACCACAGGCCAGCTGCTCTAGAGGACATGTGCTCACTCCTGCATGAACACGTACTTTGGGCCAGTAGTGTTTCTTCTAGAAATTTACCCTAGATACATTTTATAGTTGTGCTCTAATAACACAAAACTATTCCCTGAAGCATTGTTGAAATATGAGATTTTAGGTATTCCAAAAGAATATTTTAGGGTGGAATTAAACGGCTTCCCTATGGTCTTGGGCAGAAGACTGTATATAGTAAAAACCTCAATGGTCTCCTAATTCTACAGGTTCTAAGCAATTCTATTCAACGACCCTAAAGGTCGGTTGCTGGGTAGTTGCAGGAGTGTGTCATTCAACTTATGAAGCGTGCAAAGAGGTGGTGACAAAGAAGTGTTGAAGCCAGTGACAAAAGTCTATCAACGCAAACTTGCAGCCCCCAACCAGACCTGTGTGTCTATGGAAACATCATTCGGATAAAATTAGCATTGCACAATAGCAATGGGGAAAGGATGGGTTTCTTCTTAAAGAGATATTACCGTAGCCACAAAAGAATTGCATGTGGTTTAAAAGATATGACAGGGATGAGAGGAAAACTCAGCTGCCGAAGTAATAGCCTTGCAAGCACACAGGTGAATCTGCCCCTCAGAAGTCATGTTATGAAAATGATTAAGTGTGGTGTTGCAATCCCAGTGCAAGGGAGGCAGAAGCATGGGGATACTGGGCCTCGCTGGGGCTCACTGGCCAGCCAGGCTAATCTACTTAGCCAGTTCCAGGCCATCTAGAAACAAGATGGGTGATGTCCGAAGAACAACAGCAGAGGTCGTCCTCTGGCCTCTAGGGGAATGCATGTACACCTGTGAATATATAAATCCACACAGATGCATGTTCTCTCTCTCTCTCTCTCTCTCTCTCTCTCTCTCTCTCTCTCTCTCTGTGTGTGTGTGTGTGTGTGTGTGTGAAAAGTACCCAGACCATCATAGTGGAACACACCTGAAAGCTCTCACCCAGAAGGCTGAGGAAGAAGGATCATTGCAAGTTTGCAACCAGCCTGGGCTACACAGTGAGACCCTGTCTCAATCAAAACAAAACATATTAATATATTGACGAGTGTGTGCACACATGCGCACGCACAGCTCTGTGATCAGGAAAGGAAAGGACGTTTTGTACCACTAAACTGGCAAAATTAAACTGCCCCTGGAACACTGACTCTGTCATCATTTCATAAAGGTTAAACTGGGCGGAACTGGGCAATGTATTATTTAGAGCTGCACAGCTATGTGCTGTCCACAAAGGAAGGCAAGAGAAAGATGACCATGCCTCTCGTTGGAGAGGAGAGGAGTTGGGAATTGATAGGAATAGGGTGTTTTAAAAATCCTGAGAGCAATCTGATATTTCGAATGGAGAAGCTGTAGTAAATAAAGGGTAGCTGATTGGGACTCGGTTTGGTCTGACAGGAAACATAAGAGAATTCAAGCAAGATCTGCCTGCCAACCCAAGCACAGAGGAGGGAACAGCCCATTTTCCTTTTTTAACATGTAATTTAGTATATGTTCTATCGTTAGTGTGTCTAATAGAACAGGAAGGGGTGGAAGAAAGGGCTGGTTTTCATCGTGTGAGATTTCCATATTTTGAATTCGTCCCCACTGTGCATCGGTTTCTTCCCAGAAGCCTTTTGGGAGATGCGAAAATGAGGCTGAAGTCAGGAGGGAAGGCTGACACTCCATGGCTGATGAGGACCTTTTAAGAGACCTGCTATGCTCTCGCTGTTTAGGACTGAACTGGTACCAGGATGCCTGTCACACAGCACAGAGCTCAGGGCTAGGCAGACCTGGAAAAGAGGAATCGGGGTCCTCCGTTTGTAAGGGTTGTTGACTGCAGTGGGCGGCGGGAACACCACCATCCTCTGGTCCTGGCTGTGGAAACTGGTCAGCACTGGCTATGACCAGCTAGAAGAGATCAGAAGTGGGTCTGAGAACTAGGGAGGCAGAGAGGAGTCCTAACTTCTAAATTTCCTGAGACGAAAGTCGGGGCGGGAGGGGAGGGCGCGATCACGCAAAGATCCCTGGAGCTTCTGCAGGCGAACCAGACATCACGAGCCCAAGACCAAGCGAAAAACTACGATTCCCAGAAGCCCCTCGCTCAGCGCGCAAGCGCAGAGCAGAGACTGGTGGGAGGAGACACAGAGCAAAGGCTGCCGGGAAGACGTGGCTGTAGGCCGCTGAGCGGAACAGAGTGCGACGCAGGAGCAGAGCAGAGGCTGCCGGGAGCGCGCGGCCAGAGTGGGGCGCAGGCGCAGAGCAGAGGCTGCCGGGAGCGCGCGGAGGGGCGGAAGTGGCCGCCCGCCCTGTCCGGCCCTACGCAGGTAGGCGGTAGCCCGCGGGCTCCGGAGCCAGGCTCTCAGTGGGTGAGTGACGGCGCGCCCGCGGCCGGGTGCCCTCCCTCGCTGTGTCCTGGGGCCTGTCTCCACCGGCACCCGTCCGGCCTGGCCCCAGGCACCTCAAACTCCCCCCAGCAGCTAGGCTGTGACTGGTGCCGGACTGACAGACATCTTTTCCCTCTGGCTAATGTGGGAGACCTCCCCTCTCTGATGAGTGTGCAGTGCTGTACCCCTGAGAAGTAGTATGAAACTTCTTCCTCTTCTGACTAGCATGCTTCAGATCCCCCTAACGACAGTCCCTTTCCTCCCTCCCTGCTTGGCCTGGGCAGGGCCTCTCCAGTCTGGCACTTGATCGCCTCTCTTAACAGACCCTCATACCCACCCCATCCCCACCTATTCCTCCTTACTCCGTCCTGGCTCTTCCTGCTGTCATCCAAGATTGGACCCTCCCCTGGGCAGCACAGTGCACTATCGTATTTTACTTCCCAACTTCCACACTCCCTTCTGCACGCCCCTCGTCCGTTTCTGCACATGCAGCCCCAATCTCGGCTGGATTCTCACAGCCTCGAGGACTGGCATCCTCTGGTCCATCCTAACAGTGCTTCCTGCCCCTAGCACTCATGACATTCATCCGCCTCCAGTAAACCCAAGCACCTTCCTGCAGTCACTCAGGAGCACCTCAGTAACCAGCTTCCATCTCAGGACTATATACTTGACAAAGCTTAGACCTTGGAACCTGGTCTCATGGTGTCAGTGGGGCCTGGCTGACCAGATCTTACACGCTCCCAAGGCTGATGGGATCCCATGTACTCCAGGGAGATGCCTTGGGAGCTCCTCCCTGCCCCTCTGTGGAGCTTGACTGAGGTCCATCCTTCTGGACTGGGCCACAGATCCTCCTTTGAGGTGCTCCCCAGATCTCAGCCTAGTAGTCTTGCTGGGACCCGTGAGCACAGCCTAGTTCCTTCTGGATACAATAAGGGTTCTCTGTCACATAGAGCCCAGAGCATCTTCGTTTGGCTAGAGACAGAATTCCGGGTGTTTTCTTGCTTTTTCTTTGTTCCATTTGACCTGTTATCAAAAGGTAAATGCTCCATGCAACTGAATGGACCACGTTGTGTGACCATATTGTCCCTCAATCCCTTTACCACGTAATATACATCAGTGTGTCCAGGAGTGCATGACATCTGTGTACTGAGCAGCGGACACGGGGAGAGGTCTAGAGAGTGGTAGAGGCACGTGTCCTGTTGTCACCTACCTGACTGTCATGTGTGCCTGTGAAGTCCCACAGATACGTGCTACCCTGTTATCTGAGTCTCAGAACATCCTTGCCAGTGTGGCTGTCTTCACGGTGGCCATACAGGTCGGTGCGTTAGCATCTGCTCTTTGAGGACAGTGGATGGTTGTCCACACTCCTTCCCCTCTCTGTCAAGAGGCATGAAGATACCTATTAGAAGCCAGTGAGTGTTGAGAATTTCTGGAAAGCTTGTCTTAAATGCCAACACTGAAGGAATTAAAACCCTGTATACTGACTTTAAAGAATTTTCCTATCAACACGGGATAGATTGGCCAGGGAAAATAATAACGGTGATTCTAGAGAAGTCCACGTGGAAAGGCTTTAGGATTCTGTTGGTGGGCATGTCTCTCGGATCCCCCTGTTTCTCTTCAGTGAGCGCAACCATTAAGTGCTTCACCATTAGCGTTGTGTCTAGTGTGGACAGGGCCACAGGAAATTAGAAGCTCGAGCCAGCTCCTGTGCATTGAGAGTGGGCAGTTGTGAGCAGTGGAGTGCAGATGAGTGTGAGCTGAGAACCATCAGAATGGTTCTGAGGGTCCTGCGTTGTCCTGGAGCCAGCGCTGGGAGAAGCTCCAGGACAGAGCGGGCTGTATCGCAGGCTGCAGCTGTGCATCCTGGGACTGAGTTCTGGTCTCGGTTGGACTGGGATTGTCAAACCCCAGGGTTTTCAGGCACGCTGGCATCCAGTGTTTAGAGTGTCACTTTGCCCTCGGCAGCTCCTTTGCTAAGTCCCTCCCAGGGCACTGAGGATACAGACTAAGCAGCAGCAGCAGCGTTGTGATGCCACAGATGCACACCGGGGAGGGTTCTGAAGCCTCTCTGCCCACTCTGGGAAAGGCCTGGTAATGAGGAATTGTAATGAGCCTCAAGACACTTGTGTCTACCTTGCCCCTTAACCGGTGAGTGTGCTACATTGCATAGAAAAGGGAGTTAAGGCTAGAAATATCTCAACGGGAAGCAGGGAGGTTTGCCCAAATTAGACCTCGGGACCCTTAAAGCCACAAGAGGGAGGCAGAAGAGCAAGAGGGAGCCACTGGGAAGAAGTCCTGGTGTTGTCAGTATTGCTGTCTAAACAGGGAGGAAGGGCCCAGAGGCAGGGAGGGAGGCAAAGGCTGGGGAGGAGGTCTTCCCCAACTAATGCAGCTGTGAAATGGTAGCGTGTGATGTTTCAGCTGCCATGACTGCAGTAATTAGTTACAGCCCCAGAGCACTAACACAGTCCTCCTGAGTACTCGACTTTTTAAAAAGGGGCTGAAAAATTCTACTGTCCCAGTAGTACAGAGGTTGACTCAGTGTGTGTGTGACCCTGGGGTGTGGTGCAGATGTGGGAGATCCCGGAGCGACACTTAGCTTGAGAAGGATCTGAGTGCGGGGAGGAGTGGCCTCTGTAGTCCTTAGATCACACACTGACTCTCTTCCTCATTTCCCTGGACTATCTGTCCACCTAGTCTAAGTTAGGAATGGAATTCTTAGGTACAGTGCTGAGCTTGGCCAAAGCACAAAACTAGGAGCCAGACTCTATGTCACAGTGCCTAGCTGTGGCTGTGCACAGGTCTGTGCCTCCCAGGGACCTGCCGTCAGCGGCTGCTGGGAAGCCAGGGTGTCTGCCTCCTCCATCCCCAGCAGTCAGTGCTGGCCATGGCTTTCGTGCTGTACCGTGTGGTAAGGAAGCAAGCTTCACACTGAGCAGAGTAGGCATGTGAGGCTTGTCCACCCTGCTGTGGACGGAGTTGAAGACCGTTCTGCAGAAGTGAGGCGTGTTGGCAAGAGAGTAGCCCTAAGAACTGCCCTTCCTTGATCCTGGAGGGGAGGAGTCAACTGCCTCAAACCTGTTTGAACCACCACCTGTCACACAGGCCACTCGTGAAGAAAGCAAAGAGACAGGCCACTTCGGCTGTACAGCTCCCAGGGTGCCCATGGAGGTAGGTGCCCTCTGCCCATGCTCTTCCTAACAGGCCAGCAGCTCTGGCAGCTCCTGGGTGCACAGAGAAAAACACTTCCTCTGTGTTGCTTATCCCTCTGGTCATCTAGAAATGTCCTTTGGAGTGGACAGATGGATTAGTGTGTCTCTTGAGGAAGTGAGATATGGCCTTGCTGTTTTACGCCTGAAGGTTGTTAGCTCTTCAACACCCACTGCATAAGAGGGGTGGGGAGGAAAGGGTACCTGGTGCCATGTAGCACTGGGGCAAGGTTGGCTCAGGAACAAGAGCGGCTGCAGGGCGCCTCTGAGCTTGGGGGAGAGCCTGTCTGCAGGCTCAGGGCCAGTACCCTTAGCCAGCCTGAAAGGAGCCCTGACTTTAAAGCTGAGGTCAGAACAGGTCATACCTCAGGCCAGGTGGGCCTACTTCTGTCACAACCATGCAGACCCCAAAATGACCTCAGGGTTCCTGTGGGGACTAGGAGGAGGCAAGCTCAACCCTGTCCTTCTACAGGACTGTTGTCCGTCTTGTCCCTCACTTCCATGGGCTCCTGTCTTGTGGCCTTGGCAATAGCTACAGCCACAAGACACAGTCTTAAGCACAAAGCAGCTGGAGTTTGAGGACATTGGTTAAAAGGCAGCTGACTTGGCACTCTCTTCTTGACAAAGAGGAAGACCAGGGGAGGGGTATCTGACAGGGATGTTCACTGAGGCTTCTGGAAGGAAGGCAGAAGTTTCTAGAAGCCTGCTATTGTGGAAATAGTACTTTCCCTCCTTTAACCAAAAATGCCTGAGCCCCAGTGTTTCCTGTGCTTCCTTTGCTTGTGGAGAGTCTTCTTGGCCAATCCCTTCCCTTGAGGCATGGGCTGACCTGAGTGCAGGTGGTCCTTGGGTCACTGGCGGGGGGGAGGAGTTGTTCCTAGGGTGCTATAGAGAATGACATATACTGTAGCCTGAGGTGGCTGCATCCTCACCCCCAGGTCTAGAGAGTCACTGACCTAGAATTCTTGGTCCCATTGTCTTGCCAGAGGGCCAAAATTAGGATGTCCCAGAGCTGTTTCTAAAGGTTCTAGAGAGAACTCAGTCTTTGTCCTCCCTGCTTCGCAGGCTTTCTGTGGCTTGGGGCCACATCAGCATTCCAGCCTCTGCCTGTTCGGTCATGTTGCCTTCTCTTTTACTTGTTCCTCTCTGCCTTTTGTAGAAAAACAGACAGGAAAGCTCAGCACTCAGGAGGCTGAAGCAGGAGGATTGTCTTGAGTTCAAGACCAGACTGTCTTGAGAAAGAAATCAAACATCATTGCACTTGGGTCCGCCTGGACAGCCTCCTCCCTGAGGCCTTCAGTCACTCCTTCAAAGTCTGAGCTGGCCTGGAAGGCTCCTGGACAGGGGACAGTAGCAGTCTCCGACAGGAGGGATGACTTGCTGGGCAAGGACACATGGCCAGAGGGGGACTGCACAGTGAAATGACTGTCACAGCACTTTCAGGAGGTTCCAGATGGCCCTGTGTGGTTAGAGGACGTGCATTCAGGTGCAGGGGTCACACGTGCCATGGTCTGGGTCGTGGACTCTGGATTGCCAGAGCTGTACTTGTCTGAAGTTATGGTTTGTGAGAGGCTGGGCTGAAAAGCAAAGCGCTCTGCAGGCTGTGACTGGTAGGGAGAGCTTGTAGGTAAGAAGGGCAGACAGGCAAGCCCTCCTCTGCATCTGGCTTAGTTGTCAGCAGGTCTGGGAAGGATGCTGAGACGCACGTAAGGGAAGTCATTGTGTGACAGCTCTGACTGCTAGGTGGCAGAGCACCAGTTTGGACTCTGAAAGTCTGGAGTTGAGGTGAGACAGGCGCATGGCTGGAGGACAGGAGCAGCTGCACTGATGCCTGGGTGTGGGGAAAGAAGAGCACAGATGCTTCTGGGATGGGCCTGGGGCCTGGGCAGCCTTCAGTGTAGACAGGAGTGCTGCCAAGAAGCCTATTGGATACCAATTGGCCTGCAGTCGGGAGGTGCTTAAGTTACAGAGATCCCTAGAATAAAGAATGTGGGACGTGCTAGCCCCTGGGCCAGCAGAGAAGTTTCCCTGACTCTAGGACAGTGTCTGGAGAGGCACAGATAGCCCAGGCATGCACACCTGGGCCTAGGGCTAGAAGAAGGAAGAGGAACGGGCAGGAGTGTGATGTTCTTGAGGTGCTGGGCAGGACACTGGAGCAGGGAGACTGCTCCTGCACAGACTCCCACATCCTCTGTTCGGTAAACAAGTTGAGTTGCCTGGTGTCCCTGAGAGAGCAGTCCAGGAACACACATGAGCCAGCCAGGTGAGCAAGATGCCTGCAAACCAAGGGAGGGGCTGAGGAACTAGTCTCAGCCCATTGGGGTAACCCATAGAGCTCTTTCTGAACAGAGTTGTGGGGGTATGGGCTGTACCCCCACCTCAGCTGCTACAGAGCTTCTTGGAGCAGTTGGGTCGCTGACTTGAACAGTGAAGGTGTGTGGTGTTCAAAGGAATGCAGAGTTTGTTAAATGGGAAGTTTGAGAGCTCCAGAGACTAAGGACGATGGCATGTCATGGTGTTTACCATTCTACACAGCAGTCATGTGTGTTGGGCCTGTGGCTCATGTTGGGCAGCTGAGTGGTGTGTTCATTGGGGCCTTCATCTAGAGCTGTGCACTTTCAGATAACTAAAGGAACCTCACCATGGTATTCATCAGTCAACCCTTCAGCAGGTACGTGCTGATTGTCTCTTGGCTCCTAGCTCTGAGCTGGGTGCCAGAGCTGGAGCAGGAAGCCCTGAGTTGGTGAAGCTCCCAAATGAAGGAGAGCAGATGGGGGAATCTCCCAGGACTCCTTGGACATGAGCGAAGCAGCCATGCAGAGCAGGGCAGGCGTCCAGGGCAACGGAATGGTGTGAGGCTTGCTCTGAAAGTGATGACCTGCATGGTTAGGACCAAGAGGGAGAACCATGGACAATTACATAACAAGTAGTGCTGGCTGGGGGTGGTGGCACAGGGCTCTCAGGAGACCAGCTATAGAGGAGCTGGGGGACTGTTAGCATGTTTGGGTGAGCGGTGATCCTGCAGATGGGACAGACCTGCCAATGAAGAGCCATTAGGGAAGGGAAGGTTGAAGCCACTTCTTGGCACTGTTGTGACAGTTTGAAGTATAACATTTACACCCAAACTGTGCCTTTTGTTTCTGGTTTCCATGGGAATTTTGAGTGTTCGTGGTAGCCTCAGCTATTCCTGAGGAGGATTGGGTTAGTCACCTTAATGTTGAAGAACTTGGACTTCTGTTTTGAATATTGTCTAAGGTGAAGTTGGAATTGGAGCATGGCAGTATTTGACTCTTGGCAGGGCTTGGCACCATGTCTGTTGAGGATACAGCACCTATATCCTGGGTCTAGCCTCTGAAGCCATGGCGATAGAGAAGAGCATGTGAGGCAGAGGCTGAGTCCCAAAGAGGCCTCACCAGCATGGGGTGGGGATACTTTGGGGTGACCAGTTCTGCAGCCATTGCTAAAAGATGGCTACCCTGCCAACTGGTCATAGCACAGCAGCCCCAATGTGCACAGAGCCTTCCTCTCCTGCCTTTGCTGTAAACTGCAGGCCCTGCACCCACTTTTCTCCTTGGGCCTGACCCTGGGCACTAGAACCTGAGCATGTCCAGGACCAGTGACGTACAGCATGGGCACAGAGCACCTCTGTAGCCATCGACACCAGAACCTTGTAGTTGGAGCACATGGGCACCCCACAAACCAAAGCTGCTGGAACCCCAAGCCCTTCCCAGGTGTTGCCTGGCAGCCTGTGCCCATCAAGTCCCCCTGATGTGATGTTCTTGGATTTGTTAAGGCAGTGACAGCGGCCATGGCTGGTATGCTTGCAACCCATAAGGGAAATGCCATGCTTCATCCAGATAAAGGATGGGGGGCTGAGAGCAGCCGTGGCTCTACCGTATGGGAGGTCGCCCTGAAGCTAGATACCATCACCACAGCCAGCATTGGCTTAGAGGCTTTGTGGCACTGAGCTTTTGAGGTCTGCTAGGAGCAGGCAGGGCAGGCAGTGAGTGGTAAGGCGGTGGAAGTCCCAGCCTCCTCCAGTGCTCTGGACCTGTAGCTGTGCCATAATGTAGAGCCCAGCTTGAGCCTGAAGCCAGAACCGTGCCCCAGGTTTATGAGGTGAGCAGCATGCAAGACTTAGTCCCGGTGCCTGCTTGTGTTAGTAGAAACGTGCCATGGTGGAACTGCACCAAACCCAGCAGCAGCGAGTTCTCACTGCCCCATGTCTCTTTGTATTGAAACATTGCAGAGCCTGACCAGACCCCAGGCTGCTACATGAGAGACACCGTTGAGGCTCTTGGGCTGGCAGCGCAAGTTGACATACCTGGGAGCAGGGTGGCTGGGGAAGACTTGACGTGTGAGTCAGATCTGCACCTGTGTCTCCAGCAGGCCGCAGCCCTCACTGATGCTTCTGCTCTGACTACCTGCTGAGGTCAGGGTTCAGCCAGGAAGAGCTGTCTTTCCTGACTGAGGCTGACTTGAGCCTGTGACTTAGGACTGGAGAAGTAATGTCTTCCACAGCTCACTCACCGCTCTCCTCTCCGACTTAGGTCCTGTCCAGCGTGCAGTCTGATGCCCATCCAGCCCTTTGACCAGCGGGAATGGAATGAGCCTATGCACTCCCTCCGGATCAGTATAGGGGGCCTTCCTGTGCTGGCATCCATGACCAAGGCCACAGACCCTCGCTTCCGCCCCCGCTGGCGGGTGATTCTGACCTCCTTTGTGGGTGCTGCCCTCCTCTGGCTGCTATATTCCCACCATCAGGCCCCAGTATCGGGCAGGCCCCCCACCCACAATGCACACAATTGGAGGCTCAGCCAGCAGCTCGCCTCTCATTACAATGACACCTATCCCCTTTCCCCCCCACAGAGGACTCCAGGTGGGATTCGGTACCGAATCGCAGTCATTGCTGACTTGGACACAGGGTCCAGGGCCCAGGAAGAAAACACTTGGTTTAGTTACCTTAAAAAAGGCTACCTGACCCTGTCGGACAGCGGGGACAGGGTCAGCGTGGAGTGGGATAAAGACCATGGGGTCCTGGAGTCCCACCTGGCAGAAAAGGGGCGGGGCATGGAGCTCTCGGACCTAATCGTCTTCAATGGGAAACTCTACTCCGTGGATGACCGCACAGGGGTCATCTACCAGATCGAAGGCACTAAAGCAGTGCCCTGGGTGATCCTTTCTGATGGCGATGGAACTGTGGAGAAGGGTAAGTGAGCCTTCGCTGTGGGCTGAGCTCTTCTCAGTGCCACGCTGTGGCCTTCCTGCTCTGGCACAAGTAGCTCAAGGGAAGGGGGAGGGTTTACTTTGGCTCAGTCTGAGGGTGTGGCCCGTCACAGTTGGTGGGGAGTCACAGCGGCAGGTGTGTGAGGCGAGGCATCCACAGGAAGCAGGGGTGAGTGCTGCTGCCCAGCTCACTGACTTCTCATTTGGTCCAGGACCCTAGCCCATGCCGTGGGGCCACCTACGTCAGGGCCGGTCCTCCTGCCCTGGTTAACACAATCTAGAAACTCCCCCACCTGCATGCCCAGAAGTGTGTTTCCATGGCGATAATGACTCCCATCAAAGTGAAGGTGACACTCAAGATGAAGCGGAGACCGTGATCCAAGTGCTTGTCCAAGACCCTGCACACCAAGTGACCCTTGCTCACTCGACTCGGCTCAGCATGCAGTGCAGCCTTACTGGGCTTACGTGAAGCTGTATCTCTGAGCTGAGCACTGGGAGCCTGCTGCTGAGTGGGAAGCCCTTTTCAGAATGAGCCAAGGCTACGTCCATTGCCAGCCTCACCCCTTCTGGGACCCTGGTCCTTGTCATGTCTTCAGAGGTGTCTTAGATCATACATATGATTCCCATCGGGTGGCTCACCTCACTGCGATACCAGGCTCTAATCTCAGTTTATTGGGACCACAGGTCAACTGTTGCTACCCAGCCTTGCTCTGAGCCTACCAAGTACAAGGGTGTGTGTGCTGAGCAGCAGTGACTCCTGGGATCAGACTCTGGTGTTAGCTTCATGTGTAGGACTCCTTGCTTCCAACAGGATAGGGGACAGAGCTCTCTGAGCCTTGGGCAGATCTGATCCGTGCCTCACAGCAAGCTGAAGGCCATTGCAGACTTCCTGCAGTGGAAGGAGGGCTGCAGTAATCACCCCCCTGTGCTGTCTGCCCGGCCTGCCTGGGTGATAAAAGTCTTTCGTGTTTGTCCAAGGTTGGGGCTCTGGGGAGTGGCTGTCTCCACCTAGTACCTCGGCTCTGTTGCTTACCCATTTCCTGCCCATAACCGTAACCATCAGCATTGTAAACTGTGGGGCAGTTTTCCCCTTGAATGGGAAGAATGCAAGTGACAGGGTGCTTACTGCTGAGCTACGAGTGTTCATCCAGAAAGGTCAACAGACGAGCCGCTGGGACCGCTCCTCATGGAGGCAGCTCGCTGGGACCACCTGGAACCAAACCAGTCCCTCTAGAGTGTGTCAGAAACTGCCATCCTCCTGCAGCCCTAGTTTCCCAGGGGCTAAGGAGCTTGTAGGAATGTTGGGGGTGTTAGGAAGGAGAATGCGCTCAGACAGCGTAGGCGACATCGCCGGCCTGCAACAGGAGGCCGTGTAAAGTCAGTTAGTGGAAGGTAGATTTGAAGTAAATGCTGTGAAGTAAAGACAAGGGTGGAAACAGTCACTGCCTCGTCCTGAAGACCCTGTCGTTCTGCCTTCCTCTTCCCATGATGATGGTCTAAAAGTGAGAGGCAGGAACTGGGGAGCCCTGTGGTTAGGTGTCAGCTGTCGCCCTCCGTGGCACAGACAGTTGCATACAGCCTGCTTGAACTTGGAAGCTGGAACTGCTGTAGCACACGCAGCTCCTGAGGCTGCTGGCATCACACAAGGAGTAGGATGGGGGCTGCTAGCCCTCGGAAGCTGAGGGGTGGCTGGAGAAGTAGCACAGGAGATCTGGAAACGGTCTAGTGTGGTTCTCGGGTTGTCACACGTGTAACGGGGCTCTTGGAAGAAAAGGGGTAAGGAAGACAGGACATGGACTCCGGGACCCAGCAAGGGCTTGGCCAGGCCTCCAGTGAAGCTCAAGGGTGGTAACTTCTGACATCCAAGTGGCTGTGCGCCACTTTGGACAGCTGACAGCAACACGGGCAGGAGATAAGCTGGGCATGGGGAGTAGGGTGTCTCAGGCTCGCCTCCCTGTTGCCCCAGGCTTCAAAGCTGAATGGCTTGCTGTGAAGGACGAGCACCTGTATGTGGGTGGCCTGGGCAAGGAGTGGACCACCACGACAGGAGAGGTGATGAACGAGAACCCCGAGTGGGTGAAGGTGGTAGGCCACAGAGGCAGTGTGGCCCACGAGAACTGGGTGGCCAGCTACAACGCCCTGCGAGCTGCTGCGGGGATCCGACCACCAGGTAAGCGCCTCTCTCTAAGAGCCCCCAGTGTAGTACTTTAATAGCTTGCTCAGTTGTGCTGCTGACAGTGACTCACCATATCCAGTGAACCATTTGTTTCTGTCCCTTGCTGGCCTTAACAGATGACCCCTCATCCACAAAACGCTTCCTAGCTTGGGGCCCTCATAAGCAGTGGAGATAAGTAGGCCTGAGCTGCCATCCCCTGGGCTCTGAGGAGTACGACCTTTGTTTGAAGGAAGCTGAGTTAGGTGTGGGGCAAAGGGCAGCAGGGAGACAAGACCCAGAGAGTTCTCCCATGCTGACACTGAGGTGGTAAAGGGAAGGTTTCTCTTTTGCCTAGTTGACCTTCCGTGTGCCCTGTGATGAACACCAAGGGAACAAGAGCAAACGCAGCTGGTGAGGGCTGCAGGCCCTGTGGGGACACAGTGCACTGCAGACTCAGTGTAGTTCTCTGGCTTGGCTGGGCTGCTACATGGTTGGCCCGAAGCAAAGCTATAAGTTAGAGGGAAGAGGGAGTAAAGCCCCCAGAGTGCAGGGCGTGTGGTGACTGTGGGTCTGTACTGCCACCTCAGGCTACCTCATTCACGAATCCGCCTGCTGGAGCGACACACTGCAGCGTTGGTTCTTCCTGCCTCGTCGGGCTAGCCACGAGCGCTACAGCGAGAAGGACGATGAGCGTAAGGGCAGCAACCTCCTGCTGAGCGCAGCCCAGGACTTCAGGGACATCTCCGTGAGGCAAGTGGGGACGCTGGTCCCCACCCACGGCTTTTCATCCTTTAAGTTCATCCCTAACACGGATGACCAGATTATTGTGGCTCTCAAGTCGGAAGAGGACAATGGCAGGATCGCCACCTATGTCATGGCCTTCACGCTGGACGGCCGCTTCCTGCTTCCAGAGACCAAGATCGGCACTGTGAAGTACGAAGGAATAGAGTTCATCTAGATGAGTAACCGCGCCCCCAGCAGGGCGAGCGCCGGTGGCCGTGCTACACCAGGACTCAGTTTCATAAAAACTGGGAGCGCTTCCACTCGTCTGCTTTTTCCTTTTTTTAACTAAGAGCTGTGTGCCTGGCTAGAGAGTTCCAGAATAGGGAGCTGAGACCCGGCCCATATGGGTGTTCACTCTGAGGCTGGGAGCACAGGAACCCCAGGTTCGCCGCCCACCCGTGCTCGCTCTGCACTGCCACCTGGTGGTAGGGATTGATCACTGCTACAGGTACCTTTTGAGCCTCTGACCTTCAGAGTTCAGCCATGCCTTTCATTCCTTGGTCTCTGGCCTTTCCATGAGTTCTCTGTCCAGTATGTGTTTTTGAAGCAGCCAGGTGTTAAACCCTAGCTTAACCCTGGGAGCACAAGACAGTCTGAGGTAGGCCTGCCAGACAGGCACTCAGAGTCCCCCCTCTTCTTCCCACGTGACCCTGGCATTCCATACTCTGCAGACCCCTGGAAAGTGAATGTTTACATGGCAGGGTGAGGGCCCACCCCTTGGGAGACACCTGCCCACACTCTGAAGTCACTCTAGCACGGGATTACTTGTGAGCTGTCATAACTTCATTTCTCTTTTAAAGTCTGAATTATTAATTTATTTTTATTAAAGCAATTTCTTCTGAAGAATAGAGTCACCAGACTTCATCACACAGTGAAGGTGGAGTTCCCACATCTACTTCCAGGAGCGAGGGAATTGTCCCCACAGCCACAATGGTGACATTAGCTTTTACAGGAAGGGCCTCAGGATCCTTGGCCTCTGTCTTCTAGCAACTTCCAGAAGCTGCCATGCTTTCACCTCTCAGTAGTGGCTGAGGGAGGGACTGCACCTGACTAGAGACCGGCCCTCGGTGGCTCCTGGTGGGAGGTTAGCAACCTTCTCTCCAGGGGAGCCTCACTGTTGTCTGCTGTCCTGGTCTGTCTGTGTTCAAGAGAGCCAAGGCAGCAGGCAGGCTCAGACGGGGTTCTGGAGACAGCAGCACTTAGCTGCCTACAACACCCTTAGAGCAGGACACGGGAACTGCTGTGGGCACCAGGCCCCGATGACATCACAAACCCCTTCCACAGGAAGCTAGGAGAGCCTCTGCCACTGGGGCCTGGCTACCCTCAGTCCAACAGGCTGTTACTGACTTGTTCTGAGGTCTTGGTGGACTTGTACTGGGAGCTCAGCCAAGCCTCCTTGAGATCTGTCCACTGTGAGGTTGTGTGATCCTGAACTGAAAGAGATGAAACGAGAGGTTGAGAAAGACCTGGGGCCTCCCGCTGAGAAGCCATCCACACACCTTCCTTTCCCTAGTGTGAGCAATGATTGTGTCTCTCTGTTTTATAAACAATAAAGTGTCAGGGGAATGTGGTTCTCTTGTCTGTGTTGGCTGTTGCCAAGGGGTCTGCCCCAGGATGTCTGAACAGGTGGAATACAAGCCTTGGGGTCATGAAATGGCACCTCACCTTTCTAAACAAAGCCCAGGAACTGAAGCCCTGTCCAGGCTTCCCAGGTGTGGATGTGATAGGAAGGCCCATGTGGAGAGCAGCTCCAGCCCTGCAGGCTCTGTCCTACGCCATCTCTTCCCACTCTGGCTATTACTGGAGTCAGGACAGAGCCTGAAGTGCTGGAGCCTAGACCACAGCAGTCACAATAGGCCAGGCTTGGAATCCCAACCTCCACAGGCCAAGATGAGGAATAGTGACAAGCAGAGAAAGGTTTGTGGCCACTTGAGGCAGTGGGACAAGGAAAAGGTCCAGACTGGGCTAACAAGGAGGCTCAGTGTGGACAGTGCCTGCCACACAAGCCTGACAGACTGAGTGATTCTCGGAATCCATGGTGGAAGGAGAGAAATGATGACCCAGAAGCTGGTCTCTTAACCTTCATATGTTCCCTGTGACATCTGTGCTCTTACACACATGCACACATACACCACCACATGCATGCATGCATTCTCACATACCACACACATACATGCACATACAGACATGTACACACATGTGCACACATAGAGATACAGTGATTCCCAAGCCCACTTCGGGGTCCTGCCCATCACTGGCCCAGCGCTGTGCCTGGTCCTGGCTCCTGGGCTATTCTTTCAGGTAGTCTGACAAGTCAGGCCATGTGGGATCCTTCCAGGAGACAAGTGTCTCTTCTGGCTGGCACCAGGCCTCAGCTGTTCTCTCCTCAGGTGTGAGAATCCCTGGGAAATTCTAGTCTCTTGTGATCTATCACCTTAGTTGTCTGTAGGTGAGGGGAAGGGATGCAGGTGTCTCTCTTTGTCTTCTCTGTCGTCCATTTTCTATGCAGGAGATAGGTCATCCCCAAACCACTGCTCAGGGCTGCAGCAGGGATGTATTCTGTGGCCAGAGAAATGGAGGATGGGCCTGGTTTCCAAGGCTGGCCATAGGAAGCCACAGATGAAGAGCGAAAGAGATGACGGAGATGACGGGAGGGGAGCCCCATGTTCCAGGAATTAGGCAGTTATTTAGGTTTTGAGACAGGGTTTCTCTATGTAGCCCTGGCTGTCCTAGAACTTGCTCTAGACCATGCTGGCCTCAAACTCACAGAGATCCGCCTGCCTCTGCCTCCCAAGTGCTGGTATTAAAGGCGTGCGCAATCACCACCCAGCTGGACACTTCTTTCCGATGCTGCTGTTCTACTGGGGTCTTAGCAGTTCACTGCTGCCTTGACACTGAGGGTCTGTGATTTGCTGAGCACACAGTGTTGGGATGGGACTTGAGGTCTGCTCTAGGTCACTGTGGCCCTGACCTCTTCAGGACATTACCCTGGAGAGACCTTTGTGACCCTCAGACCCCTGTGGTTAAAGATAAGCACAGTTTGGGGGAACCAGGATGACCAGGCTGTCATGCCTTGCTCTGGGTAACTAAAGTAGAAGCAGGGTCACCTGCCCTTGACCCCTCAGAAGTCTTCAGACGGGTCACATGCATCACTGAGTGGCTAGAGGGTTCTGAATGTTCCTGGGTCCTGACCTCTTGGGAAGTCCCCCTGTGTCACAATGTCTGGGCCCATTAACCACCCATCTGTTGGCTTTGGAATGGACATAAATCAGCAATTCTCAACCTGTGGGTCACAACTCCTTTGAGATTACACATCAGATATTTGCATTGTAATTCATAACAGTAGCAGAATTATAGTTAAGTAGCAATGAAATAATTTTATGGTCAGGGGTCACCACCACATGAAGAACTGTATTAAGAGGTCACAGCATTAGGAATGCTGAGAACCGTAGAGCAACTGGGCCTGCTGCAGACTACACACCCTGTGATAGCCTTGCCTCTGTGATCTGGCTTCCTGTCCTCCAGTGGAAGCCTAGGCCCTGGGCTCTGGTGAACTAAGGGGCTGACCCAGGATGGAGGCACCAGAGACTTGCTGATTCCTGGAGCCACCAGGCAGTCCAGGTGCTAACCTCCCACCCCTCTTCTCCAGGGGACATCTCCACATCCTTCCTTTCACATTCTCATCCAAAGATGACAGAAGCCACAGTTCAACAAACTTGGAAATCTCTGCAGTCAGGCCTATACCTGCCTGTAAGCTTTCTGCATGGGTTTCCCAGGACTACAGGACCCCATAGCCAATGGAAACTTCACATCCAAGGGAACCAGTCCTTGAGTGTTTGACCCCTGAGCTCCAGTGCTCCAGGCTTTTTGCTGAACCCAAAGGAGCTGTACCTCAGAACTCCCTGGGGCTTTCAAACACCAGTGGCTCTCTCCCACAGGCTGATGTGGGCATTGGCATCTTCACAAGGTAATTCTGGCAAGCCCAGGTTTGAGCTGCCCTGACTGAGAACTCCCCAAGTAGAAACTAAGACCTGGGTTTCTTGTAGGAGAAGAGGAATGGGTGTAAGCCAGGCAGAGCCTGTGGTGGTCTGAACCCTAAAGGGTCAGTCACTGGAGCCGTCGGGAGGTTGCATTACTGAGTCGGGTATGTCTGTGAAGCCCACTGTATCTGCTTACCAGCTACTGCCTGAGTTTGGTTCTCTGGGGCCTCGGAGCCTTCCTGCCTGTTGTCATACCTGGGACAATGAACTCCAGGCACAGGATAAAAGGGTTTGCCAGACCAGAACTGGTATAAAAGTTTTAATAGAGAGCAGACACTTGGGCGGTGGTGCTGGAGAGATGGCTCAGCTGATAAGGAATGCTCCTTGTGCAGAACCCAGGTGTGATTCCCAGCACGCGCATGGCGGCTCACAAACATCTGTAACTCCAGCTACGGGAAACCTAATGCCCTGGCCACCATATGCACATCATGTACATGGTGCATTTACATGCAGGCAAAATGCTCACACACATAAAAGAAATCCTTTAAAAAGAAAAAAAAAAAAGGTAGACATCAAGGATACCAAACACAGCAGGTAAATTCCTCAACCATACACCTGAAGAGGAACAGGGTGATTTTATACCAATTCGGAGTCACCTGGCTTTGTCTCCTGGGCTATTTGTGTCGGACCTTTTGAATAGCGGTCAAGAGGACAGTTGAGTGTCTTGAGGTACTAAACATGGGGCTGGCAGCTGGGGGAGCTGCAGGGAACAGTTGGGAATTAGGCCACTGTATAAACTTATCATACGTCTGGGGAAATACGCCTTTTTAGTTTTTTAATTTTAATATATTTTATATGTTTGGAAGTTTTGTCTGCATGTATGTATGTGCACCACATGTGTGCCTGGTGACCATGGAGATCAGGAGAGGGCATTAGATGCTCTAGAACTGGAGTCATGGGTGATTGTGAGCCACCATGTGGATGTTTCCAGTGAAACCTGGGTCCTTTGCAAGAGCAACAAGTGTACTTAACCGCCGAGCCATCTCTCCAGTCCTCTTTGAATTTTATATGATTGTTTACATTTATTTACTGTGTGTGTCCATGTGCATGCACATACATGCCATGGTATACATGCGGAGATCAGAAGACAGCTGACAGGAGTCAGTTTTCTTCTACAGTGAGTTTCAGGGATCAAACTCATAGTCAAGATTGGCTGCAAGTACCTTTACCTGCTGAGCCATTTTTGTTGGTGGTGCTTTTGTTGTTGTTGTTTTGGATTGTTGGGTTTTTTTTGGATTATTTTGTTTTATTATTTTTTGTTATTATTTTTGTTTTATTATTTTTTTGTTTTTGGATTATTTTGTTTTGGTTTTTTTTCCCCTTCTTCGCAGGCTTTCTCTGTGTAACGCTGACTAATCTAGAACTCACTATATAAACCAGACTAGTTTCTAACTCACAAAGATCCTCTGCCTCTCAGTTAAAGGTGTGTGCCACCATGCTGGTTTTTTTTAAAAAATAGATATTGTAGAAACCTTTTAAGATTTAATTTTTAAAATTATGTACATTATGTGTGTGCATGCATGAGCACACTTGGGTGTGAGTGCCTACAGAGGCTGATCCCCTGGAGGTCAGTTACAGGCTGTTCTGAGCTAACCAACATGGATGCTTGGAATTGAACTCATGTCCTCTGGAAGAGCAGGCCATACTCTTAACCACTAAGCCACCCTAGCTCCCAGCCCTGCTTCCTGCTCTTGGCCTTCCTGTCTCTATTCTTGTCCCTCAGGACCACTCTGTGGCCCACATAGCTTCACTCTGAGCATGGTAGGATTGTGCATAAGTGCACCCAGCCTCCCCAGGTCCAGGAAAGGATTGTGCAGCCCATGTCCACACTCAGACACTCTGACCTGAGCCGCTGCTCCTAGGCCCCCTTGCAGCATCTTTCCACCATCTGCCAGGGTGCCCTCCTGGCCAGCCTGGACATGTATCTGTTCCACTATCCCCCCCAAGCTGCCCCCCAGGGTTCCTGCCTGGCCAGCCTGGAAATATACCTGTTCCATCATCTTCCAAGCTGGCCCCCACTCCCCCGCCTGCCTGGCTAGCCTGGACATGTATCTGTTCAGCCGCAACACTGTTGTTTTATCAACTCACTTGGGTGACTGCCATCCGCCCCACAGAGCAGCAAGCAGAGAGCTATTAGCCTTGTCGACAGCCAACCCCAGAAGCAGCCTCCATCATGTGTTTTCTGGAAATCGAAACTAGACGAGGTTTACAAAGCATTTCCTGGGACGAGGCTGAGGTAAACCACATGGTGGAGCCTTTCTCAGCCGAACAGTTTACAGAAAGTTTCCAGTTGCAGCCAGCAAGGAGGCTCCAGGACCACTTTCAGCAGCTGCCTTGGCTCTTGCTCCCAGGTGAGTCCCCATTCTACACAGCATGATTTCTAGCCGGGCAGAGCACAGCAGCACCTAGACCTGCAGGCCCCTATACAGTTGGCCAGGATGTTTGGTGAATGAACAGCTGAAGGGGCGAGTGGGTTACAGTTCATCTCTTGGACTCCTCCTGGGTCTGTGGATTCTCACCCGGGGCCTAAACC